GGTAATTGTTGAAGATCATATCCCATGTTCTGGATGGCAAAACATTTTTTTCAGTCATGAGCAAATGGATGCCTGCAACATTTGTTCAGATTCGCAGGCTGCAGCGAGATTGTCCACTACMTTTTTGTTGAACACAGTCCCCCTTCAGATGCCTTTTGAAAAGAAAAGAGTTTCTAASGACCATCCTAGTTTCTGAAGATAAAATTAAATTTTTGATTCTAGCAAACAAAAATTCTGCAGCTGAAATACTTCTTGGTATAGAATGTGTATCTTTGTCTATTACCTTGAGATTRGTGTCTAAACCTCTCTACAATAATTTGTTTCTGCTGCATGCTAATACAGCCCTGTTTTCTTAGATTCGTGCTACTTGTTTTKACAGTATTGCTGTCAGACTCAGGTTTCTTATATCCTTTGATGTGATGAGATCTGAGGATGTAAGTAAAACTCACCACACATTGACCTGCCCTTGCTGGGTGTGTGCTGGTCTTACGGCTGGTTTTGTTTGTGCCTGGGTTCAGTGGGCAAACACGTGGAGATCAGTTTGGCTCTGCTGTGTTTAAGGTCAGCACTGATGCGGGAGCAAGGATGCCATCATATCTGTCAAGTTTCTTCTGAAGAGCTACCTGGCTCCCTCCATACTGAAAACCATGGTGATAGCATATATGAAAAGATAATGATCCAGATTTCTGGGTTTATTATAGCTCTAAGTTAAGGGTAAAGCATAGTTGAATAGTCCTTTTTTTTTTTTTTTTTTCACTGATGACCATGATCATCTGTATGTCTTAAGATGCATTTTTCTTTCTGATGTGTAGCCCAACCACAATATTGCCCCTTCATGGTTGTATTCTTTCCTTTTCTTTGCTTTCTCTAATGCAGAGAGCAGAGGTTTGGTGCATTGTTTAAAAACTGGAAGAGTCTGGAACAAACCTGTTGTTGAGGCTTGTTTTCTTGCCAGCTTTTGTAGAATGAGCTTGTACTAATTGCCCAGATAAGGAAAAGCCACCAGTACGAGAGTGATGGATATGTTAATAAAGAAAAACAATGTACAAGAAGAGTATTTCCCATTCATACGTTTTCTATTAACATGAAGCTGTCAGGGTTGCAAAAGAGTAGGAGTGGTTGTCAGGAGCATTGAGGTCTCTTACAGCCTTTTCTACTGATTTGTTGTGAGCTTATGAACTCTCTTGAGCTCAGCCTCCTGCTGCGCATATTCATGGTTAGTTTAGACCATGGACTAACGATCTGAGTTTTAGAGCTGATGGGCATCTGCTGCTGCCTTTGAAGTGAGTAGGATTTAGTTATGTTGATGGGTATCTCTGAAAATGAAGCCACTTCTGCGAGTACTCAAATTCCTGGGTTTGTGTGCCTGAGGGAAACCACRCAAGTTTGAAAATGTTGACTTTGAAATATACTTTGGTTTCCAGACTTGTAAGTAGACAAAATAAATTTCACACCACATGAGGTACCCAGGAACTTAATTAAGGTGAATTAAGTGTTTTAAAATCTTAGCAGAAGCTGGAAAGTGTTTGCAGAATAATAACAATACGTGCATGTTCATCAGTGAGAACCAGAGTTTTGGAGTCTAAGAAATGCTTTCAAGATAACATATGGATAAATTTATCTCAACCTTTTTGCAGTGACATCAGCCTGCATGCCCACAGTTTAGCCTTCCCTGACAAAGATCCACTATGTTAATGGAACACARGATGATCATAAAATCCTGGTGAGGGACACTGTGAACCATGGCATGTAACTGAATAGTATATTACACTGTGAAATAGGGACTGTGAAAAAAAAGTGTGTCAGCTGTAATGAAGAGCATTTCACACTCYAATCTTGAGTTATCCAAATAGCAAACATGTAATAATACAAGAAAAGGGGAAGCTTTGTCTTGCTCAATGTATTACATGTATTTTTAAATCCTGTCTTCATAATWGTGTTTCATGAATTACATTTTTATTAATATTGGGAAAAGTCTTCTGCATATAAGTAGCAGTCATTTACACGTTTTCGTATTTTAGAATGCATGAGATTCTAACAGTACTTCTTAGTGCAATATGAAACTTAAATATGACATAATAAAGAAAACCTTTCTTCAAAACCTAAATTGCAGCATTTCATATCAAAACTTAAAACAATATTTGGCTCCAAATTAACATCTGTTTAAGACCTGCATATCTTTAGCCGCTGTATTATCTTCACTTGGTGCATTGGAAGAGCTCTCAGTATAGAGAATTAGACATTTTAAGTGTAAGTACCCATCTCTTCTTTGCCATGTGAGATTTCCCTGTGCTTTTGGTAGAGACTTTGCTGACTATTAAGTTCTTACTAAACTTTTACTARAAGTCTCTGTTCTTGCTACTTCCCATTTTAAACATATTAAAAAATATTTTTAAGTATACCAATATAGCAGCAGCGCTCTTTCTCAAGAAACAGTAGCTTCTCAGATTGTTTAGCTGAAAAAGTAATGTTAAGGATAGTTGCAACTGCCAGAGTCTGGAAACTCAGAGTTRTATCTGACATTTCATTCTTCACCTTAACTATTGAGCCTTGGCCATTCATTGGATTTTCACAGTGCTTTGGAGTTAGAAGGGAGTTTTACAGATGAAAGATGAAAATCAAAATAAACTCCTTTATCAAGTAAACCTTGCAAGGGCATTCTGAATTTTGCAATACACAGGGAGTTGATTGTGATATAACATACAACACAGGAGGGTTGGAATAAACAATTTATTCTCTATCGTTARGGATGGCCATGCATAACTGACTTATGGCTCTGGTTTGCTCTGCCACTTGTTACATGTGCAGTCATCCCTAACTCATACCAAAAACAGTTTATCATACTCCCATGTTGCATAGTTTTTATCAAATGTTCTCTCATTAAAAACTTTACTGKGGAGACTGAATGTTAAAAGACACTGGCATTGCTTTAGTAAGCTTTCCCCAGAGCTTGGTCTCACTGTGGAATCTGTGYCGACAGGGATCATGAGACAGTTCCTGATATCCTACACAGCCACAGTCTGCTGGGCAGGTAACAGTCRTCATCTGACAGCACATAGCAGGTGCAGTGCAGGCGTCAAAGGCTGGCTTGTCAGAATGACTGAGGGACTGCAGGGGCTCTCCCCGAGTCGGGAGAGAATCAAGGGGTAGGACAGCATGGCACAGTGTTACTGCCCCTATGGTTTAACTCCRGCTCCTGCACTGAGGGTTTTGTGTTATCTACTGTCAGTTCATGACCTTCCCTGAGCCTTAAATCTGTTTAAAAAACAGACAAGGCCATATGCCAGGTAGTTCCCTGGCCATCCTTGTCACAGGTATATCCATAGTCTGTAGTTGTCTTTTGGACAGCCATTTGACAAATTTCATTCTGGAGCATTGTATGGATGAAGCTTTCAGCTGTGTGTTCCCTTGCTGAAGGATGTTCATTGTGGTTGGTGCATGTCAACAGCTAATTCATGYTGCCCATTCTTCTCCAGAGAGGATGCAGTCTTGGTACAAATGGGAATGGGTGGGTCACCAACACATGTTCTGGGTAACAGCTGGAGTGAGGCCATGGGTGTGCTTCAGCTGTAAAGCTCCCACTGCAGGAATGCACTGCTGAAGGTGGAGCTCCTGGGGGGTGCTTTGACCCCGCCATGTGCAGCTCTGGTGGTAAGCTTCGGTTYGCGGTGTTCTGTGTCTTTCTTGGCCAGGGGTGTTTGCTGCAGACTGACACAGAGTGCTGCATGGGTGTTGTGCCTGGAAAAGCAAGGTTTGACAAGGGTGCTTCCCATTAGATGCATGGKCCCTCTGCACAGTCATTCACATGGATGGATGTTTTCCAGGCTACGTCATCTTCCTATTTAGCAGGAACATTTTGAGCCTAGACCTTTATTTCAGCGTTATCTCACCCAAGCTCGGTATAACTGGTGAGAGTTCAATTATATGCAAAGTGACTGTTAAAGCATCAGGGCTCATCTGGGGGTCTGGGCCTCCCCTCCAGTTTTCACTTGCAATTGTGCTAAATCCCTTAATGCTGCAGAGAAATCGACGTTCATCAGGTGGAGCATTGGAGGCCAGGGTGCAGATAACCACTTTTACTGCAGATGAGACATTGCAGTCCTGTTCTTAAGAACTGCCAGGCAGATTGGGAATCACGGTCACGGTTAATAGCAGCGAATTGCCAGCTCTTGATGGGTGGGTAGTCACTCCTTTCAGTGGTTGCCCCCTGGGGGAGAAGGTAGAAAAACAGAGGGAGGGAATTAGAGTGACTTTGCACAGTTGAGCAGGTTCATGCCGCTGGATCAGTGGCAAGCATTGGCAGGGCTCCACTCTGGGGAGGCTCACAACAACATCACAGTCTCATTTTTACCAATTGGTGTTGCTATAGCCAGTGGTGCACAGGGGGAGAGCAAAGAGAAGGGGGGGAGCGGGGGGAGAGAATGAAAGCAAGAGTCTGGACTAAATTAAACAAACAAAAGTGCTTGTAAGTAGCATTTAACCCATAACCATTAGCCCAGTGCTGCTAATTGTACTAAACTATATATCTGAAGTTCAGTGTGTGATTAAAGAGTTGGCTCACAAACTCTCTGCATAACCTTAATTTTTTCAAGGTTCTTTGAGTGTAGAATGGCTTATAATAATGATTTTGACTAATACGATTTTTGACATGCAACTTTAATGCTTAACCTTAGTACAACTCCAGAGCATTTCATGTGTATTCAGCTGTAAAGAGTGATGATTTAAAGGGATAATATAAGAAAAAGGTCGTTCTAGAATGAACCTCTAACAAATTGCATAAAGGAAGCTTATTATTCCATGAGTAGAGAGATACGCAGCTTTTCTGATCATTTTTCTGCTTGGTTCAAGAAATTGTTGAGACATGATTGGGAAAAGAAACACAAAAAGATGAAATAGAAAACTGCAAGCAGTGAACATTCTTTTGATGGTTATGATTTTGTTGCACTAAAAATACTCCTCAGTAATGTGGTTGTTCATCTTTCCTCTTGTTTTGGGTGAAGAATTCGTTCCAATAAGAAAATGCTGTTATTGGTTGGAGGATTGCCTCCCGGACCTGACCGGCTACCCAGCAATTTGGTTCAGTATTATGATGATGAAAAGAAGACGTGGAAAATACTGACAAGTAAGTGGTTTATTTTTGTACAGTTGTCTTGATGAATTTAAAAACATGGTTAATCAAATTAGACACTTTATTGATTTGTTTCTCTTCAGAGATTTGTTTATGTATCACAAGGGGCTTCACAATGGAGCAATAAATTGAGATTGCAGAAGATGCTAATTTTATAATAGGATAGGCCTAAATTAACATTGGCTTAAAATCATTCCAGTAAGTTTTTTTTTAAGTAAACTTGTAAGTCTTTCAAGCTGTAACACGAACCCATGCATATTTATGTTTATATGAATAAAATCTGGTTTAGGAAAAAAAAARGCAGTGTTTGAGACATTTTTCTCAGACTCAGATCCCTGGTTAGCCATAGTATTAGARCACACCTTTGATTCTCTTTTGCATTTTCATTTCCTTCTTCCAGCTTTATCTGTTGTCCACAATCATTAAAGAAAGGTTTCCTCTGTACTACCCCGCGTCCATTGCTGACAGAAGCATTGGTGGAATATATCAGCTACAATAAACAGTGCATGGAGGCTGCTATCACAAAATTCTTTCCCACCTTCTTTTAATAGTGGATTGTGTTTTAGAGTAAGTATTTTGCCTTGAGCATTGAGATTTGGAACTTATTGTTATGTTGGTTGCGATTCCCAGTCTGACTTGGTCATGGAATCAAATCATAGCTTCTTGAGTGCAGCAGGCTGTGTGTGCATTAGTCCCCTTGTGGCTAAACTGGCTGCATTGGTCAATAAAACTAAATTTTAACTGTCAAAATTGCCCAAAGCAGTATAGATAAAATAATAAATGAGCAATTTTGATCCATAAATCAAAGCCATACTTCTAAAACTGGACAACTGGTAAAACCTGGATTTCCTATTAGATCTGCTTTTTATTTTCATCCCCCCCAGTAAAATACCTTCTAGAGAATTCTGTTCTTCTTTATCCAAAGCCCTGTAATGGTGTACTTCCACATTAATATTACATGCACAGTTTAGGATGAAAAAAAAATTAAAAGATTCTTGTGATGCCAAACTTGGAAAATAATGCCCTTGCAAATTGTTTTTTTCCTATGGAAGATTTAGAAGCCTTTCACAAAAGGGTGCAACATAAAGACTGTTAAAGGTGCAACATAATGACCTGGACTAATATTTGAGAGTGTTGTATGAGAATGACAATAACAAAAAATTATATGAATGGTACAGGATAAAAGTCTACAACGTGTGCTACAGAACAGACTATGCTTCACACTTTCAGAATAATGCGTTACGATACTCCTCAGAATTAAGAAAATTCTGAATATGGTAAGTCAGTGAAAAATCAATGATAYTGCCTAAGGCAGAATTGCCCAGGTGCTTTTTTCATTTGCTGTGTCTAATTCAGTGGCACAACAGGAGAGGCAGGAGAAATTGACCTCTTGCTTCAAGATCTGAACTCTTGGCTGAATTAAAGTAGAAAGCTTTTTTTTTTCTGAATCTGAACTAGGTGTAGATTGTCAGATTTTGTAAGAATGGAATTTACTTAGCTTTTGGTTACTTACATTGTGTTGCTGTCTCCCAAGACTGTGGGAAACTACCCAGAGGTAGGATAYCTAAATGCTCTGGTTAAATGTTCATCACTACTTTTGGAGTAACACCACTGTCTGTGGTGCTGTTGGGAGATAATTCAGAATAATTTTATATAGAGAATTTAGTCTTTTCTGTGTTACCTCCAAGAAATAGGGAAGAAAAGTTCTCTTTCCAKTATGGGTGATGCATGTAACATTTTATGCTGTGGTTGAAAGACAAGGCATCTGTTCCAGTCCCAGCTAGTTCGGGTTCAAGTGCTTRCTGCTAAGCACTGGAAATCCTGAAGGTCCCAGGATCTGTCTTAGGGTCTGCTTTCAAGTAGACAGACCTCTCTTGACATGAGTAAGCCTGTTCTTGCAAATCCTCTTGGCCTGAGCTAAAGTCTGAAGAACACAAAGGAGAACGACTGTCTTTTCGCACTGAAAAAGGTTAGCAAGCATTATTTCTTAGAAAATACTTTACTACTCACAAAATGGTAGCAACAACTATTAAAAAACCAAAAAAAACAGTTGAAATAAGAGTTTCACATATCCCTTTATTTTTTTCTAACTTAAGAGAGAATGGGAGACAAGTCCAAGTAGAACTTTAGTCCTTTTGATAAATCATTGAAGAATTCTACAGCACAGGAGTGCAGGGACTTGAAGAATTGATTGAGAAGTCTTAGGGAAGACAGCAAACTTTATTTATCTTTATTTATCATATACTTCTTGCAATTTAGGAAGGAGCTTTCCTTCTTTACCCTTTTACCTCTCTCTCAATCCACAGTTGTCTTATTAGAGATACACAATCAGCAGCAAAGGCAGAAGATTGTTTTTCTTGTTTGTTTTTGGGGTTTTTTTTTCATGTGTTTAGACAGTGCTTTCAGTTGTGTGGTTGCAGTTCACTCTCAACTTGTCAGTGCAAATGAGGAGTTTGCTTCTCAGTGAATAGGAACAGAGCAAAAGCTATGTCCTGCTTTCAAGGTTCTACAATGGGAAGAATTCCAGTTTTTGTAGCCTGGTATTTTAAGATGTTCTATTTTATTATCGCCCTAGGTGTATTTTGTTTCCTCCTATTGCAAAGCTTTTTCTTTAACCTTCTGCCTGTCAATAGGCTCCCCCACACACCMACAAAATGCCACATTTTGCACTTGAAGGATTACTGATCCAATGTAAATGTGCACAGACATTCCCCCTCCCTTCCTCCAAACCAATGTACATTCAGTTTCCTGTGCCAGTGGCATTTGGGGATAGGGAAGATGRGAAAGGAGGTTTCAAACACTTAATGCTGGGTGCAGTGGCAGGGCCATTGAGGAGAGGTGGATGAGAGGAGTCTGAATGACCTCTCGTCACTCTCCACTGAGAGGAGCCCCAGAAGTTGCTCACCAGGGCCTGCAGACCCGTTTGAGAGAGAGCTGCTTGCCTGTTTCCTTTTGCCTTCTCAGCACGGAGTGTGGCTCTTGCAGCCAGTCAGCTGCTTAGGGCTGTGTGTCCTGCCTTGTGTGATGCATAGGGAACAGGAGAAGATCAACCATCAGGAACTACTGACTCTGTGGCACTGCAGTTGGAGCTGTGAGGACGGCTGCAGGTAGAACAGCACGAGCTATCGAGTATGACAGCTCAGCAGAGGAGCAATCTCATTTTGTTCCYGAGACAAGACTAGATCTATTGGCAGGATATCCTGCCCACCTCTCTCTGCCTGGGTAGCCAAAGCACCAAATGCATCAGTACTAATGGGAGTAATTCTAAAGGTATCAGGAAAACAACTTGCCTTGTTCATAGACCCAGGAGAGGAGGGGAAGCATGCACCCATTTCCAATTTTTTAATGTCATCATCTATGGGCAAGAATGCTATGGCTCAGGGGATTGGTAGATTTTTCACAGTCTAGTATTACTGTGTATTTTTCCTATCTGATATTTCTCAGTTATTTTTTCTATGTTGACAACATACAGGCAGAATAAAGAGAGAAAAAGGAGAAAGTTAGTGGCATTCTACAAACATTTTTTACCCTGTAATTTTTCTTCATATGGRCACAATCCTAATCTGAGATAATAAACAATATGATGCACATCGTAATGTGCATGCACATTTTAATTCTAAACACTTATTGCACAATTGTGCCTAAGTAAAGCTTTTGCAGACTTTTGGCGAAGTACAGCAAATATCTTCACTGCATGGTTTCTTTTCAAGCTTGCCTATGTGGRCACAAACACCAGTTCACTTTTTAACTGGGTTCTACGTGGGTCACACAGCAGCAACAGGCTGCCACARCCCAGTGACAGAAATGGAACAGCTGATGGGTGCGTGACAGTGCTCAGTAACAGCAAAAGTTCTGCTCTGCTAATGGGGTTTCATTATTCCATTATATTCTGCGGTCTTCATAACAACTTACTGGATGTGGGGCAGTGGTGGGGTGTCTCTGTGTCACCACCTCGTGCCTCACTGCTCAGAACCAGTCACTGCTGCTTGGGCTTTTAATTATCAGTTATGGTACTGCCAGGAGTCCRGGTTTAATTCTAGAACTCCTTTGGTTGCTTGTTTTAACAGAAATGTTAAAGATTAATTAAACTTTGAGGAAGTGAAACTATGTTTTGTTTGTTAGAATTACTCTGTAATAATTGCAAAATCCAGAGCCTATAAAGATTTTTTGTGTTCAGAATTGCATAGCTTTCCCAAAAACCCTACTGCTAAGGCAATGATGTATTACTTTCACTTTCATTATATGTTTTTAATCAGAGCGTGACTTCACACTAGACAAAGCGATGCTTTATGCATGGTCTCCCTTGTTTTTTGCWAAAATCTTTTGACATGATTAATTTTACTTTAATGCTTTTGTCTTGTTGTAATGGTAAGGATGATGGCTATAAACCAGGGCAAAAAAATACATGCTTTTCTGTCATAATGCTTCTAAGCATTTAAAAAATATATTAAATGAAAGAAAAAAATATCACAAGAGAATGATCTAACTGGAATTAAATTTCTTGCTATGTGAACAGAGAATGCAAGAAATAAATAAAAATGATGCAGTCATTGTTTTAGGTGAAGGTTTTTTGTGTTTTTTCCATAGCAATTCATCCATCTGTCTGATTAGAAGCGATGACTAGAAGAGAAATTGTGTCTTACAGGTTTCTAGSTATACAGGAATTCCTTGTTTTCAATGCAAAATTCCCTTTTCTCTAAAACACAAAAGGTAAAACATTGGAAGCATCACTGAAGTCTTACATGGCATGTTCTCTCTGTGTGAAGCTGCAGCTGCAGCAGATACTGTTTTCATATCAGTACTTTGTTTTTCAATGAGATGTTAATTGTAACATTCCTTAACTTCCCTAATTCACCACATCATCTGGGTGAACCACAGAGAGAATTCAGTGAATATCACAATAATGGCAAATATATGTATSAGCAATAATATACCTATGCTTAGGGATTGTGTTAGGTTTGGATTTTAATCCAGTGTGAAAGCCAACATCATTG